TATATATATATATATACATACACACATACATATATACACATACATACATGCATATAAATATATCCAAAAAAACAAAAATTTTAACTAATAAAAATTAAAAGTCAAATAAAAACAGAAAATGTAATACTGAAAATGCAGTTTCAAAGTTGGATGACTTTATTTCTTCTGTGGAACAAACACAAAGGAAGACATCTTGAAGAATGTCTCTATGTTTTTTTGTCAGTATAATGAAAGTAAATGTGGTCCAAATGGGGTGTTCTTTTGGACCCCATTTACTTTCATTGTACAGGCAACAGTTTAAACATTTTTCAAAATATCTTCTTTTGTGTTATGCGAAAGAAATAAAGTCACACACTTTTAAGCCTCAAAATGTACACAGCACACACAAACACACAGAAAATTGTGCATATTGGGTGAAACAGGCCATGCTTTTAGGCACTAAATGAATTTTAATCAATATTTCTCTTGCTTCATCCCATCTTGGATGTTATTTTTTTCCAACAACCATGATGCAATGCATAATGGGGTTACCTTATTTATGAAGGATGTGAAGCTGCATTTAGACTTCCACCAAAACAAGGTATATACCCTTGGGAGCACGTCTATGTAGGCATCTCACTAGGTTTTGATACAGAGCTTATGTCTGTGGTATTTCAAAATGAACGCATGTAGATTTGCGTGTGCGTTTGCATGCTTATGAGAAAATGTGCATGCATGCATGCTTCCTTGCATTTATGCATTGTGAGTGTATGTGCTTGTTCGGCCTATAAAAGCCCCCCTGCACTCACCTCCAGCTGTCTTTGACCTTCCTTTTAAGTTGTTCCCAGCTGCACTACAGGCAATAGAGGTGGAGTCAGTATAGAGAGGCAGTTCAGCCATCTTTACTCCAGATCGAGCCTCCGCTATCAGCTGCCTGGCTCTCTCTCGCAGCTGCCTGCGCCGTTCTTCATCACGCTCCTGACACACACACACACACAGACAGAAGCAGAGGGAGAGGGGAGTTATTGAACGGGTGCCATCTCAAGTAATTGACAGAAATGCCATTTTCACTCCTCTCTCTCCCATCAGATCAGACTGATAGCAGCTTTTTTTTACTAGTCAGGATGGAGGGTCTCTGGCACAGATGGAGAGAGCAAGAGACATTCACTGCATGGTTTATTTGTCATTGATTCTGTATAGGTCCAGACATAATAAACCTGAGATATTCGCTGGAATGTCTTTTTTTTTTGGCCTGACTACATGTTTATGAGTGTTTTGTGTGAATCAACCAGAGGTAGAGACAGAAATGTATGCATCAACTACTTGGACATGAATAGATAGATGTAGAAAAGAGAGAAGCGGACAGTGACTGGGAAATGGATGGTTATTATAGCCTAACAATTTTATGTAATATTCACAAAGTTGTAGTACCACTAGCACACAATAACATTTAGTCAGGTCTGCTTAGCATGATGGGTAGCCTGGCCCCACAGACAGCCACATGAACACACATACATGCACATATTTTCGAGATGGTAACAGGTTTCTAAAGCAAAAGAGCAGAGAGTGAATTATCCCAACTGGTTACAAAAGCGTTAAGTTAATTAACCCCATTTCACCTGTTTCTGTGGACAAAGCTTGTCTGAAGCCATTGTTGAGAAGGACAATGAGCAGAGAGATGCAGATGAGGGAATCCCAGGAGCACTTTTTAGGGGTCCAGCCAAGAGGCCCTTGAGTCTCAGGGTAATTTGAACATGCAAGACAAAGCTAAGGCCAGGTTACACCTGAAAACACAGGAGTGCTCCTGCCAAAACAGAATTGTGTGTGTCCACTATGTTCTTGCAAAATTAATACATCTGCTCAAATTGGAGGACGGAACAGCCAATGATATGTATGCAAATAAATTAAGAAATCAACAAAAACAAACAGAACCACGTGTTTCTGTGAGCGTGACAAAATCTACCTCTACTGTATAATAATGTATGTTTCGTTTGAGCTGTGAGGCTTTTGCCCTGTGCTCCTCATACAATTTAACATAATATAATTGTCATTTTTTCGGCAGTTGAAGTCTAAAACGCCAAATGATCCGCTTAACCTTGCAGGTATCATCACACACAACCTTCGACACACTGTTTTACATATAGCGATTCAGGGTTAGGCTAGCCATTAGCACAGAAAATGAGACTCCTTGTGTGTGCGCCTGAAGGGCAGGATTACCACCAGGCCCAGTGTAAACTGCTTTCAGGCAACTCTGGAAATGTTCTGTAATACTGTAGTCAAGGAAAATTAACAAGAGATGAAGAACAGCAGCAGACAGAGGAAAGGAAAGATGCGTCAATCCACACAGACTGTGCTGGAACATTTAACAGAAGCTTAAATTGGGCAAATCTGTAAAGAGGCAGACAGACGTTTTAAGAAGTTGGAAATGCATGGTATACCTGGAATAAATGCTGATTCACACTAAATGGACGATAACACAGATGGTGAAAAAAGCCCAGACATATAAATGCAGTTCTGTAAGTTTTTTCTTAACCAGAAATATTTACTTTCAAAAAAAAAAAAAAAGAAAACGAAAAAAAAAAAACCTTTTCAATTACATTTTCAGGCCTGCACTTTTATCATATTTCCAGATTTATCATGACCATGGGAACCTTGATTTAAGAACTCAAACTTTTTCCTTTTCCACACGCACACAAAAACTAATTTAATTGCATTGGACCAAAAAAAAAGAGTTTTTTTGGGGGGGCTATAACAAAACAACAATAAGCAATACTTTTATAAGATTTACGAAAATAGATTATTGTTAATTTCTACATGTATTACCTATATATATTTTTTTATTGTATAAACATTAAACTAATAGACTAATAAATGCTGTAAAAATATATTAATTTATAACAAAATTGTAAAAAATTAACTACTGTTAAAGAAATTAAAAGCAATCTAACCGATTATTACCATATAGCATTAAAAATTAACTATTGTTAAAGAATTTCACCTTAATGTAATGTGTTTTTTTCTGTCATTATTTATTGCGATTAGTACAAATGCTTAAAAAAAATCATGCCAATAAAGCATTGAAAATCTGAGGCACTGAAAGGGACAGTTATGAAAGTGTGACGTCAAAATGCATGGATAAAAACAATCACTGAGAGATACAAATGTAATCCCCAAATGAATTAGCCTTGCACACTGTGCAGAATAACCACCGTGTAACGATCCATTTCTACAGCAGCAATGAGGTGTAAAACGGTCTGTCCTCTTATGAAGAGATTTCTTTAATGACTCTCTCTTCAAATGGACTTCAAGTGGCTCTTCTTCAGCTACACTGAAGCTTGACCGTTCAGTCTGGACTCTCCAACTGGGCTATGCTTGGAGTGAGAGAAAGAGGGAGAAAAAGGAAGAGGAAGAGAGGGGAGAGAGATCAGTGGCCCATCCAACCTCCCAGCTGCAGATCACCAAGGATAATGAGGGGATCCACAAGAACGAGTGAAGATAAAGAAAGAAAAACATCAGGGGTGGCAGAAACGATGACAAAGTCATAATTAAAGGTGGAGAAGAAAACATGGTGTGTGGGAAGACCTCAATCTATCTTCTGGGAAGTAAAAAGGGAGTGAGAGATGCGCAAAAGCAGATAATGGAGGGCTGTCACCCTCATTCTGGACAAGAGATCCAGGGAGAGAGGGGGTGGGCGGCAGAGCTGAGGCCCAGACAGAAGCACTCACAGTGGGCATGGGGTCCGGCTGGCTGCCCCAGTCTGGCTGCTCTTTTGGAGGGGGCTGGCGGGTGGGTGGGGGCTCCGAGGGTGCAGCGAGCCATGGAAGGAGTCGCTCGGCTAGGCACACACACAGGCTCAGGGTCTTGGCGCTAACACAGCCGTGCCAGCCAGCCAGAGACGGTGCCAGCCAGTGAAGCACAAACAGATATATTTGTCATGACACACTGAGTGTGCAGAGAAGGGGAGTGCCACGCGCACACAGACAGACACAGAGATACACACACACGCTCACAGACAGACACAGACACAGACACACACACACACACACACACACACACACACACACACACACACACACACACACACACACACACAGCACAGGCAAGCAGTGCTGAAGAACAGAGGGTTTGGATCTTTAGCCAATCCAAAAGCCACAGACACATACATGTGAACAGATGGGAATCATTAGTAATTTATCAATTCTGGTTCTGATTCCATTCATGATTTCATTAATGATTCTTTTCCTAATTCTGAGGAAAAATGAATGGAATACGATCGGAAAACAATACTTTCTTGCCCTAAGCAACCTGTTTTTTCAGTTTTAATCTTAAGTGATTTATTTCAAATTTATTTAGACAACACAGTATTTTTTTTTAGCTATATCAGCCATTTATCTATTGGCTATTAAAAATAAAAATGAGCTTCTCTTACATTTATGTATAATTTTTTATTCTATTTATTTGCTTTATATTTATTTCATTGCTTTATATTTATATAAATATATATTTTTTAAGTAATACAATACAATATATATAATACAATATATACATAAATTATATTGTAATGTAGGAAATTATATGTTTACAGGTGCGTTTGCAGACTTTTCAAACTGGAATGATTCACTTAAAAGTTAATTGCTGACAGAAAATAAGACAACGGCGTGAAAATCAACAAGGCTGTGACAATGTCACCAGTTATAATTAAGAACCGGTTTTTGATCCCAACCCTACTTGCCTATGAACTTATACAAAACGATAGACAAATAACCAAACCCAAATATTCAGTGCATTCACAAAAGCAATCAAATATGAATGCAATGTTTGAGACACATTCAAGAAAATTAAAACATTGCCACGTCTCGTGCTCATCAACCCTCTCTCTCCGTCCTTTAGAAAGTGACCTGTGAAATAAAGAGACTTCCTTGTCCTCTTCACCTTCCTCTCTCTGCACTGTCTATCAAACCCTCATCTCTTTTATTCTTCCTTCTCTCCTATTTCTGTCTTCTTTAAATGGAAAATACAGATCGTCTATGATCTGTCCCCTGGCTTCGTGGTCTGTAATGAGAAAACTTCACCTTGTGTCCCCGGCCATTCTAAAAGAAGCATTCGGCTGCTCCTGTTCACAAATCCAATTAAATGTAGTCAACAGAGAAAGACAGGGAGAAAGAGAGAGTGGGAGCGTACAGAAGAGGAAGCGTTGGGTGGACGGACGGGGCAGCTTTTCCTCTGTAATGTGGCCTCTGCTTGGTGTTGAGGTGTCAACTTAAAATGCAAGTAGTTGAGCACCAGCTAATCCTACAGCAGCCTGCTTTAGCCCCGAGCCAAACGAGAGCGAGAGAGAGCGAGCGCGCGAGAGAGATGCCACCGTGGCCTTATCGCTGGGCTGCAGATGTGGTTCCTGGATCAATGCACATACACCACGATCAATGCATTTGATAAAGAATTAAGAAGAAAACTGTACATGCTATCAAAGGCCGTTGTACATAGCATAATTATGCTTCTGCATGTGTGTAGATGATACTAGTGCGGTGCGATACAGATAAATAGAAAGATAGAGGTAGATGTCTTGCGGGCTACACAGCCTGCTCTTAGCACCCGGCTCACAAACAAAAAAAAAAAACCTGTCAAACAGTTACCAACCCGTTTCGGAGGATGGAGGGATAAAGGCTGTTGGCCAGGTTTGTCCCTCAGAAAGACATCTGGCATTTAATGTACAAGCATACACACAGCTCAAGAGGGCATCTAAAAAATTCCCAAAACACTTATAGTGGGCATAAACAAAAATAATAATGTCAAGCATGGGATTACTACCAAACAAAACATGCTTATTTCAATATACGACTGCAGAGAGCCAGAGGCAAGAGGCACACACACTGCTGAATGAGGGCAGTTAGAAAGACAAACCCCCTGATGCGGGTGAAAGAGTAGTAGATGAACAGGTTGAGCAGGCGGTTTGTGTGCGAGTAGGAAGAAAACTTTCT